TCTTTTGGTGTAGCATAAATTATACTCACTTTAGTTACTAAAGCAGCTTATGACCCTGCTGGGAAAACGTTTATGTAAAAATGTATTATTCAGATGATTAACAGTCTGACTGTCTGCTGGTGGACGACACACGCTGATATTCCTCATCATTTCTACGTCTCACCGAGCTGACCTCAGGTTGACTCCAGGATGAAAATACTGCATTTGTACTAATTAATTCTAAATGGATCAGAGACAAGTGGATCACCAATGATGGAAAGAAAAGAGAGATAAGAATAGAACTCCAGTGACCTAAATAAAATGTCAGCGACGTACGGCAAATGGGTTGACTTGGTGTTAGCCATCGATTTCCTGGTCGTGCTCCGTGGTTTTTAATGAAGTTTATCGATCGGTGGTTTTTGTGGAGAGCTTGTTCTGTTGTTATAGACCAGGGGATTGTTGGCTACTTACAATCTGACTTTTTTCGTCTCTTCAAAAAAACCTCTGATTTGATTTTATTAGATTTTAATTGTCCTTCAAAATAGTCATGGACCTCATAACTAATTATATTAAAGATGTAACACTGAAGCATGTCCCCATCAACCTCCTCCTAACCACCTTCTAAATTAAGTCCTTGAGCAAGAAATTAGACCTCACATTGCCTCTGATTGAATTTGCTTTGGACAAAAGTGTTAAAAATGAAAACTGTAAATGCCAGAAAAGAGACAGAAATCAATTAATACAAATAACTAAAATTTGTACTTATTAAACTTACAAAAAACTAAGCAGATTGGTTATATGTTACACCTCCTTGCTGTGCTTGCACAATGCATAAACATGATATGTATTGAACCTTTGTTACACTGCTTTTGATCAAAATAGAAGTGTGATAATTATTGATATTGTTTTATTCTTAATATGACTGCCTGGCATATTTAAACTGAGTCTATGTTTTAGGATCAGCTGAAGCTTATTAGTCAAAAAGACCTTGTTTTTTAAATGGTTACTCTGTGAAATGCTCTGAATCATGTTGTCTGAGGGTTTATTCTCCTGACTCTCAACACTGAAGTCAACTTTGATGCGTGATATCTGCCTCAAGGTTTGAATACAAGAATATTCAATAAAACCAAAACTATTAAAAAGTTCTCCTGGCTCATTCTGCCCTCTAGTGGACTTCCACAAACATCAGCCTGTTCCTCTCACCCACTCACCGTCTCTGTCACTATTTTGTCTGAGTGGGGAACATGCGTCTCTCATTGCTGGTGAACTTGGTTTATGCAGATTTGATTGACCGTGTAGCAGCGTTGACACGCGGCAGAGGAGAGAGGTCAGAGGGGGAAGCCAGTGACAGCAGAGGTTTAGGTTCAGCTTAAAAATGTGCCAGTGTTCAGATAGAAGGAGCCTCCTCCTGTCTATTGTCATCCATCCTCAGCCTTTTTTAATCTGTGTTAATCCCAGAGTGTCTGTCATCTGTATTATCTCTGCTCCTCTAATCTCAACTCTGACCCAGAATCAGGCTGCAGGAGGAACACAGACCCCATCAGCCCCATTTGACTTCTAACTGCTTTTTAATCTTTTAACTGCTCACAGCAGGAGGTGGAGGTGTAAGGGAACAGATGGCCTTTACTTATTTATACGTAAAACATTTCGTTTTCCAAGGTTGAATTTATTGTGTTTACTCTAATATATCTGGATTAAATCAAACAAGGGTAAATATACATGTATATCTAGTTCCATCGCTAAGAATGTATAAATCCAAATGCATCATCATTTAAAACTGGTAACAGGTATAATGACATTTTATAAGGAAGGAATATGGAATAAATGTTACATATACATTTGATTTAAGTCGCGTGTGCTGGTCTGTGGGAAACGTTCCTGTGCAATTCTCTGGGTAAAAGTCGGCAGTTACTTGTGGGTCCGGGAGTGTAATTGTTTGGGCAGCAGTGCTACACAAACTGGGAATTTGGAAAATTGTTCTGGTCTTTGTGTTTCTGTCAGTCTGCAGTTCAGAGCCAGAGAACATTCAGGCGGCGCCCTACAATCTCAGCAGCCTGCTAGTGACGTGGGAGCGGCCGCGGGCAGTGTACGACGCCAGCATCGAGAAATATGCCGTCAGCTACCGACTGGCCAACGCAGAAGATTCTGTCGCCTCTGAGTACTTGACTGATGGCGACCAGGATGTGGTGAGAGAGTGTCCACAAGAATCATAATCAATCATATGTTAAAAATCAATAACAATTTCAAGTCAGCAGTCAGTCATCTCTGTCCAGCCTGAATTAGCAGCTTAGCAGAAATTTAAACATTTCTCAGCTGCTGAACCTCATAATCTTTTTATTTGTTAGAATAGACACTTATTTCACTCTCACTAGTTTCTGTGCAAAATCAGCCATTAGTTTATTCAAATCCGAAGCTTCTTCTAGATCTCTACCTGCAAATATGTTTTCTAAACTCTGTGTTGGAAACCATGTTACTATTTTTTTTGTTATTCACCGGTCTTGAATTTTTTCACTCAGAAAAATTCCACAAAATGTTAAAAGTCTTAAATTTATAATGGCCCATGTTGGGAAAAAAAAGAGGTTTTGTAGAGTAAAGTTGTAACATCACAAAAAGGACGTTGTGATTTTCATCACCAGGGGGCGATACTTGATGACTTGTCAGCCAACACCAGCTACGTGGTCCAGGTGGTGGCGGTCTGCACCAATGGTCTGTATGGACGTGTGAGCGACCTGCTGACAGTCGTCATGCCCGTCGATGACCCCGGTAAGAGCAGCCGTGCCAGAGGCCGAGCGTAGAGCAGACGAACCGTAAAAATATTTCTCTGCTGCACTTTTTCACTTTTGCTTCGAGTAGAATTCAGATATGGTGCATTAAGACTTTAAAATTGAGGAAACACAATTCCCAAAAGTGAAACAAACAAAAATTATATTACAGTAAAAAACAACAAACATGAGTTTGGAAGTCAGATTATGTCACTTATCAATGGAAGCCCTACACTAAGTTAACATGTAAGATGTTTGTCCTGATGATTTTTAACCCAGAAAAAAGAGAGAATAAGTCCAACAAGCCAACGTTAGTTCTCAGTTTAGACAGGGGAGATTCATGAGGCGTAATGTTAATAGTCCTGTAAATTCACTTTTACTCGTTGTCCATTACTACGCAATATGATTCAATCCAGCCATGTTTCTTTTCTTTTAAAAAAACTTCTGTCCTTCCACTCATCCTCCCTTTGAACCCAGAACCATACGAACAAAGTTTTGTGGCTTCTCTGCGTCTCTCTTCACCCTCCCTATGTTTCACTCTGGGGTATACAGTTTATCTTCTGTTTTACACACAGAGCTGTTTGACTCTTCTTTTTGTGTGTTTATAACTGTTTCATTACTCTCTCTGTGGTCTTCAAATGTGCTGTCTCTATATATTTCTACATTTCTAAGACAAAGCTGTCATTTAACCTTCATGTCACATGGAAAGCCAAATTCTCCATCTTTGTTTTGTTTTCACTTTGTGGCGTCTGTTCCTTCTGCATCTCACAGTAAGAAAAATGTTTGCATGTCTGCAGCAGCATTTTGTGTAACATGGATTGGAATGGCAATCACAATAACATTGTATTTTAACTGAGCTTTACATGGAATAAACTACTATGTCGTGTTACAAAGAAAAAAGAAATCCCCTGCATCCTACTTCAGTGTCAGCTTGCATGAATGAGTGAAACTCTGCTACATTCAGTAGGTTTACATGATGCTTCGCCACCATCTTAGCTGCTGTAAATGTTGCATTCTGATCATAACTGTGTTTGTTGCAACTGTTGCCACGTTAGCCACAAAAGTCATGTATTGAAATAGCAAACTCATTAAAGCTGTATGAAGCTTTAAAGGCTTTTTCTATTCAAAGCAGTAAGGTCAACTTAATGCTACAACAACAGAACATTTATTCAAAGATTCTTTTCGTACACATCTACTTCAGAGAGTTTGTTTCAGCTTCAGAAATCTGCAGATATTTGCTTTTTCTTCTGTTTGATATCAATTTTTAAGATCTTTTCACATAAATTAACTCATCTTAACAAGCTAGCACATGTATTTGATAGGTTTAGAATTAAAATGAATCATCATCACTGATTAAATATCAGTGTCAAAAGTAATTCCTAATCAGCCCATAGATTGATCTTATCATTTCCAACTCATTTAACATGAAAGAAAGCAAATCAGGCACAAGTTTTATATTTGTTTTCTATAATAATTGACATAAATTATTAATTGTTAAATGTATTATAATTTACTTTCTGTTGATTGCCTAATCAATTAATCAACTACGAATCGCAGCACCACATTTAATTTAGTATTTATTCATGCACTGCTTCATTAAATGATCAAGTTAGTCTTCAACCAGAATATGCCTCAGTTTCCCCCAGAAATCCCTCAGGCATCTCTCTCAAACTATATAGTTCATTAAACTTGTAAAACCTCACCTCATGCTTCACACACCAGTTTCATCTGGTCTCCATGATGTGTCACTTAGCCTCAGACAGGTAAGAGCCACACCTGCCCTCCACATGTCTGCTGTGTGCTGTGTGTCTGGGCTCAGTCAGTTTATGTGGCATTTGCAAATAACTCTGTGAGTTTGTTTTATCCCTCTTGTGACAGACGGGCAGAGCTCGATTCCAAAAAGTTTAGATAATCAGAGGAAAGTAGTTTTAAGTTGTCAGTTCCTTTCCTTGGCTCGTCTGGTTTTATAAGGAGGATGAAACAGAAAATTGATTAGTTGCAAATGCGTTTTGTTCAAGGTTTTCTGTGTTTGCTTTTGTCTTTGGGGGGAACTCATGCATGAAAGTCCAAATGTGCCCAACATGTTGCATGTAAATGTTTCAAATCTTCCAAAATACTACTTAACTTTCCACTGTCTCCCTTTGTCATTTCACACATTTACATCCATCAAGAGCATATTGCATTACCATGTGTTTAACTAAACTAAACTGAGCTTTCTTTACATTTTTCTAAAATTCTGGAGTCCCACATTTTTTGCTTTTCCTCTCCCTGATGACGTCATCACGTTTTTCAAATTGTTTTACCCCTTTGTCATGTCTTTGCATTTTTGTGGAAATCAACAGCAATGTAAATACAACTCAGAGAAAAGTAAAACCCAAGTAGACACAAGTCAAATTGTCTTGGCCATGAGTTTTGATATTTTGTAAATTTTATTTTTGTCTTTGTGTAATTAATTTTGTAACCTGTGCCTTTTTGTAGAAAACGCACTGGATCCAGATTCAGATGAATTTGATGATGAGGTAAGGAAACTTATTCTTACTTAAAAACTGCATGTTATTGTGAAATTACAGCTGCCATTGTTATTTATTGTATGTGCAAATCTTTCTGTCTCCAACAGAGCAACTATGAACCAGATCTGTCCTGGAATAAACCTGTACAAACCAAGGATTATGATCCAGCCTGGATTCCTACAAATTCACCAAAAACCACCACTTCTGGATCCCTTCTTTTACCTTTGCCTGGCATTAGAACCACAACTCCAGAGTCAGCTCGAAGGAGAACCAGCACTGATCCGGTTCCCGCTGTCAGAGCCACGCAGTTTGGTCAGGTCCTGAGCCAAACAGAAGAGACAGCACGTGACAGTACCTCCTCACAGCCACCAGAGGTCACCCTATCACCAGAAACGAGAGATTCTGACTTGAGTGACAATGCTCCTATTTACACCACTGCCACAGCAACAGCCAAGAAATTCTTCATTTCCACTCCCACTACTCCTTCATACTCATATACAAAGACAGATGGTGGCCTTGGACGCATCAGTCCAAAAGGCGTTGTTAGTACCACAGCTCCTACATTTACCAGTGCAAAGACAAAAGCTGGTAAAGGTATTTCTTTATACAGCACTACCACAACCACACTAAGGTCTCGTACACGTGAAATGAGCAGCACGACGTCTTCATCCTTAATCCAGGCTGAGACTGACCAAGGCTTGGGGCATCCCCTAAATGAAGACACCACCCCAGGCAGCAGAGGTTTTCCAGAGAACCAAATGTCAACCTCGGAACCTTCCTCAACTGAAGCTGTGACAAGTATCCCCACAAGTCCCACCAAGCCTCGTTTTTCATCTACCACGACCTCTGTGCACTTGAGTGCTGTTCTCTTGCAGACGACAAAGTCTGTTTCCAACGGTGAGCGCCCCATTGTCCTCCCTTCCTCTTCCTCCTCTACCTTCGCCTCCTCCCCTTTGTGTGACACCACGGACCCAGACAAAGCCCCCTCCAACTGCCTGCATGACCCTCCTTCCTCATCTTGGCCTGTGTTGTCTGCCTCTGCTCCGGACTCCAAGCATGCCGCTACCGCACCACTGTCTAGAAAAGACCTGGCTTCCCCTTCAACCCCTAAGCTCACTGCCTCCGCCCTGCCCCACCCCCCTCACTCCTCACACCCCCTGTCTGGTAGGGAGACTGACTCTGTCTCCCCTGGGTCTGATGATATTGATAGTGATGGTGATTTGTTGTCTGGGTCGTCATTTTCGTCAGGGGACCCCTTAGTTTTCAGGGATACCCCTCCTGTCCAAACAATACTGGATCCGTCCAGCACCACCGTCACTGCTGAGCCATCTGAATCCTCCTGGGAACTATCACTCTCAAAGGTCTCTCTGTCTCTTAGCCCCACCCTTCAGCCTTCGATTCTTCTTTCTAATGACTTCACCCTGTCTGGTGGAACACCCGGCTTATCTCACTCTTTCTCAACTGGGTTTGAGGACTCAAGGTACGCCATGGGAAGCACCACTGAGTCTTTCCTCCCCGAGGTCAGTGGTGATGGGTTTTCGTTAGTTAGCGATATGGTCACCATGTGTGACTGTTCCGTGGAGCCGTCTGCATCCTCGTCCCAGTTGCATGCGTCTCCTCATGTCCCCCTGCCGTCTTCAGCCTGGGACTCTGCTAGCTTAGATCTGTACTCTAGTGTTGGCCTTCCTTCCGCCTCTGGTGTTGGTATAGATGACCGTCGCTCTGTGTCGGTTGCGGGTTCTGATGGTTTGCTCCTAGACCAGCCTCTGTTCTCCCATAGCGCCATCTTGCCCTCATTATCCTTGTTACACTCCCACCTTCTTCAAGCCACACATAGTGACCTGCCCGTTTCCGTTGCAGCCACAACTTCTGGTGTCAGGGATTCCTGGTTCTTGGCGCCAGATGGGGACTCTGACCTCCATACCTCTGCCCTCCCTTCCTCACCTACAGCCACCCCCTTCACCCCCACCCCAGAGGGACAGGCGTTAGATACTAGCAGCAGTGCTTCTGGTTCAGCTCTGTTCCCTGACTCCCAGGAGGGCATAGATCAGGAATGGGACAGGGTTCAAACTTCGGCCTCAGGGGAGAGCACACTCCCAACCAAAATTGCCAAAACCGTTCCACCATCTACAACCTCTGCTTCTGGCCAGATCCCAGATGATCTGGAAGAACGCTCCTCAGCGTTCTATTTTGAAAGTGAGAGTGGCAGTGCCGTCTCCTTGGAGGTAGGAAGCACTGCAGCTCCGACCACTCCTGGTGTATCCTCGACTTCACCCTGGTCGTTGGGTGGGGAGGAGGAGAGTGGCTCAGGGCAGGTTGAAAGCCTGTTCGACAACGAGACGTCCTCTGACTTCAGTATCTCCGAGCGAACGGAAAGAGAGTCGGAGGAAGAGGAACCAGTTGCAGGTAAAAAAGCTGTCCATATTGTGGAAAAAGCTGCATTACACCTGCAAAATACCATGGAACCAGGAAGAGTTCTGGACATCCAAAAGATGACTAATCCACCATCTGTCAACAACAAATCTTCATCTCATTTTTTCATTTTTTCCTGTGAAATTGAGGATCTCATAACTTCAATGAATCACTATCTTCACCATCATTTTAGACTCATCATTTTAGTACCTTTAGTCCATCTGTTTTGTAAACTATTTATTCTGTTTATGAAGGGCTGGAGCCTATCCCAGCACAGGTCTGGTGGGGACGCATTAGTTAGGAAGCCAAGTCTATCACGGAGCTCAGTGCAATAGTGAACTGGATTAATCCACAGGTTTATTAGAATGGCACTTACCTTTGCCACAACTCAAAAGTCCACTTCAATATAATCAGTCTGCACCAAATTTTGCACACTCTTAAATATTAGTTCCAAAAATATTACCTTTTATTTCTCAACATCCATAATTTATTCTTTGGGAAAACAGTGAAACAAATGAACCAACAAACAAATGGACAGGGGTGACAACATAACTTCCTTAAGGCAACTTTCCGATAAAAGCCACCACGAAATTATTGTTTTTAATTCAGAACAGTAAATAATGCAGCTACATTATATTTATGTAATACTATGATATTCCTGTCCATGAAAATGTTTTATTAAATTTTCTTAATCTGTTTAAATAGATATAACTTAAATGTAACATTTTGTGGTAGGTACATTTAACATGGAAGGTTTCTTCCTGCTGCCCTCTCCTCTCCTCTCTTCTCTCTGCTATTCTTTTCCCGTCAACACTGTGACCGCAATGCATGATGGTATAAATTGCTTGGCTAGTGACCATCAGTAGTACTTTTTACGATGCATACTGGGAAACAATGATTTCACCATATAAGATATACAAAATGTCACTAAACATTCAGACAGCACTGCAAAATGGCGAACTCACTATATAGTGGACTAAATAGTGATTAGTGAGTTATATCGGACACAGCACTGGTCTTTGTCAGGGTGACAACGATAAAACCAGATTTACACATAGTGCTCTTCATAGTCAATGCAGCGTAAGT